GCGAAGGGGCTAAATGGGGGGGGGATTTCGACGGGGGAAGGGGTTAAGTGGGGGGGGGAGTTCGACGGGGGAAGGGGTGAAGTGGGGGGGGAGTTCGACGGGGGAAGGGGTGAAGTGGGGGGGGAGTTCGACGGGGGAAGGGGTGAAGTGGGGGGGGAGGGATGGCGAGAGTTGGTGGGGGTGGGGGCTACGGGTGGGGGAAAAAGGGGGTTACGGCTGAGAACCCGTGTCGCAACACCCCCGTTGGGAAAGGTTGAGGGGAAGGGAGGCGAGAGGGTTTTGTGGGGGGAAATGACGGGTTAACGGGCGCCACGAACAAGATGAAAGTATGTGGCGTGGGCCGAGGGTATTGAAAACGGACATGTACGTAGGTATGTATGTACGTATGTATGTACGTACCGGAAGTGTGTCCAGGAAGCTCAGGATGACGGCACGTCTGGGTGGCAGTACGTACTGTCCATCTGGCTTGTTAATGTCGGAGCAGATCTGTAGGTATGTCGGCAAGTGTGTGGGGCATTGGGTGCCTCGGCAAGGCATATAAGTCCATATACGATCAGCCTGTCTGTCCGTCTGTCCGTCCGTCTGTCCGTCCGTCCGTAAGTAAGTACACAAATCCCCTCCTACAAGGTGTCAAACTGTTTCTAGAACAGAGTAGTTCTTTCGTAGCAACATTCCCTGTTGCATACATGTACGACAGTGCTGCACGGCACGAAACAACACCAAGCACTGGAAGACCGCCACTGTAGGCACCACATAATTCAACGTGGTCGATATTCGGGATTTGGGACATCGGCATTTCCCTACACGTTGCATGTTGTACTCCCTCCACCCTTCCCCTTCCCCCCCCTCGCCTTCCCCCACATTTTCCCTCCTCACCTTGGCCAGCATCTTGTTGGGTGCCACCCCACAGCTGCACGTAAGGCCCCCGCAGCTCTCCCGTACTCGGTTTCGGAGCTCCTCGGCGGCCTGGAGCGTTACCCGGGGGGGTTGTGGGGTGTGTGTGT